GGACCTCTAAGGCACTTGGCCCTCTTCAGAATACATCAGAAAGTTAAGAGCAACACTTGGAACTGACTAGTTATTTGTCCATATTGTTCACTAGATTGCAGATTCCAGGATGGTAGGAATCATGTGTGCTTCATTCATATTGTGCTAAACAACTGAACATCTAGGACAAGGCATGGCAGATATGACGGAAGCAAGAAATAACCATCAAATAAATAAATAACAACAGTGACTTAGCAGCAGAGTGCAGGATAAAAAAACTATTTGTTTACCTTTTGTCTTTGGAAAATAGATTAAGTCAAGAATCACTTGAAAAGAGATAACTTTGAAAGAGGATAGGCAACTTAGCTACTAACTCAATTCTACTCTAAAACCATCTTGTTCCCTTGAGAAAGATCAGTGCAATACCCAAATGTCATGGCATAGAGGAGTTAGAAACATCCTACCACTGGTTCACCTAAAAGACTTTCCTATCTTAATAAAAGGAAGGTTTTTATTAAGGTATTCAGGAACTAGCTTTTTACACTAATGAGATCATTTCAAAAAAGAGAATTTAAGAGTAAGTTCCAAAAGGAAGATGATTTGCATTATGACTCAGCTCTCAAGGGCAAAGAAATACACATATCCTTCCAGACTCAGGATGATGGGGCTTTGAGACCAAATACGCTCACAGTCTTGCGTGACAGAGACAGCATGCTTATGTTTCTTGCTGGTCAGAAAAGGTGGATGGCCCTGTGAGCTCTCTCCATTGTTTGACTCTATTGTTCTGAAACAATACAATTTTACTCTTATTCACTGAAAGGGAAAATCCTGTAGAAAAACCCACTGACATTCAGGGACTTCACAATGCCATTACTGGCATCCTCCACTTGCACAGCATCCAAACACCTGGCTAAACTGTACTCTTTAAAAGAATCTTAATTAAATATTATTACCCCTGGTGGCAATTCAAAGTTGTTGAATTTAAAATATGTAATCTCCACTATGTTTCATAAGATTGGGAGTCTTAAATACTATTAAAGTATTTGAAGTATTTATATTTAAAGTATGTAAAAGAAATTATAAATTCAGAAGAGCAGAGAATTTAGACACTAATCTGATTCTTAGTTTTCAAACACTTAAAAAATAATTTGTTTATATTTTTCTCTGTTTTGTTGCGTTCCCTTAAACTCTAATTTGTTTGTTTTTTAAATTGGCATCAGGGACTGAACCCAGAGACACTTAACTACTGAGCCTCATCCTCAGCTCAACTCTTTTAGTTTTTATTTTGAGACAGGGTCTAAGTTGTTGAGGCTAGCATCCTCCCAAATCAGCCTCCCAAGTCACTAGGATTACAGGCATGCACCACCACACCTGGTTTAATCTCTAATCTTTGCACCAAAATCAGTATACTTCCATCGATGACAATAGAAAGCTGCATTTAAAAAACAAGCTTGATTTTACTTTAAAATCTAAGCACAATTACTAAAACGGCAAGCCTATCATTAGCTAATGATAATGTAATAGACAATTCAAGTTCTGGTATATTTACCAAGCGGAACTAAATCCATCACTGCTTACCAGCAACACCTTACTTTCAGAAATCAACAAAAGGTCAAGAAAGTATATTCTTCAATCCATAGGCAGAAAGTTAGATTTTTAAGTAAGTAAGTTAATTGCTACTTTTACACTTCTTGATACACACTCTGAGCAATACATGCTTGTGACCAGTTATTATCACAAAGGCACGGACTGTATAGGCACTAAAACAAGAGTGCTATGGTTAAATTGGGATTTTTTCTCTGTGTTCATAAATTGGTCTGAACAAGAACAATAAAAACTCTGATATAAGAATAAACACTCAATACCACTAATTATTATGTTTTAGCATATAGCCTCATTTCCTTCTAGAAAGAGGAACCAAATTCAACCACATTTCTCCACAGGGGCACTTATAATCATTCTGCAAATGGAAGGGCTTTGGCGATGTCTCTTCAGAACAAGAATAGATTATGATGGAGATTTCCAGAAGCCAGAAGATGAGAGCCAGCCAGCCTCCTATGATGGCTGAGAAAGACTATCATTTACAACCCTAGCACTACATATTTGCATATCATTTCTTAGCTCTCCCAGTTATCTGGACCTATTAGGCACAATAGATCACATGTGAGTTTCTGTATCAAGCCAGACAGAATACAATACAACTGATGCCCTTCTTACAGGACATCTGCTCTTGTTCTTGCTTTCTTGCCCGAAATGGGAGGCAGCACCTATTCAGCCTGGCAGGAACAAATGGATGACATTCACATGTGAAGATAGTTCTATCATCAGGTGATGTTTTCTACCATCCCTCTCAAGGATCATGGACAATTTATTTTTTCTTGTGATATCCTATGCTTTTTAATCTAAGGACTACATTTCCTAAAGGCCCTAAATTGATATTTGAAACTTATGTTTTTATATTTTTTCCTAAATATATTCCTTATCTACATCTCCCTGAAGTTTACATCCTACCTTAATTTTATATCCAAAATAAAAAGAATATTGTGTTCTTCAATGGGCCATGAAGAAGATTTGAGAAAGTAAGCTGAGAAAGCTTGGAGTCAATTTAACAAGTTATTACTTTCTGACAGCTCAAATATTGCCATTAGAGTTTTCTAGATGACGTCTAGACCTCTTCAAAGATTCTTTAATTTTACTCACTCACCAAAATTCTCCAACAGTATTTTTCAACCTTCTCTTCACCATTACCAATCTCTGTCAGTCTTTTTGAACATTTTTTTTCTATTCACCTTCCTTCCCCATGAAATGTTAACACCACTGATATACTCTATATCTGTTTTTATATTGTAGCCCCTTAGAGGAACAGAAATCATTGTAATAGCTAAGAGTTTTCACCCCTAAAGCCCAATATCACCCCCTTAGGGGAATCATATGCACTTAAGAAAAAGCTGCCATTTGAAAATTTAACTAAAACCTCATTAGAGTGTTAATATTTTTACTCCCTATAAAATGATTTTCTGTGTCTAGCTTTTATTCCTTCACAGCACTGTTTATAAGATGAAACTGATATGGAGGAAAATATTTAGCAATCTGAGCTAATTAAAGTGTGTGTGTGTGTTTGTGTATGTGTGTGTGTGTGTTTGTGTATATGTGTGTGTGTGTACTGTTAAACTGTGTGAGTAACTGTTAAATAGACCTGGCTACACTATAAAGAAATTAAAAACCCAGGGTAGTTTTCAAAATTTTGCTAGAACAAAATATTTACCAAAGAGATTAGACATATGGAGTTTTAGCAATAAAAACTAAAATAAGAGTATTCCCTACCCCAAAAAATAATTTTTAAAAAATTCTGAGCTGCAGCTGCATAACTTGGTTTTAGACAGAATCTTGGGCTAATGGAAAATGGTTACATACTTTTCATTTTCTGTCCTTGACTTCTTGTAACTGATACTTGGGAGGCTAAGGATTACAAAATTTTGGCTATGAAGTCATGCAAATCATAAGTGGCATTTTACTCTATGCAGTTAAAAGGGCATATAAAGTGCAAACATGAGCAAACTTAAAAAATCAAGTAGGAGAAGATATGTCTCTAGTGGAAACCTTAAAGAGTAAAACTATAACATCTTGGTCTTGGGCCTAAATTGTTTTTTTAATTTTACTAAGAAACTTCTGTGCTTTATCTAAGATATCAGATTATTAAAAATGCACTGGTGGAATATTTCATATGAAGCACTGTAATAAAGTAAGGTGACTGGGGCTTCCCCCACAACATACCTTACCACTTCAAATGACTTGAACATACTGAAATCCACAGTGTAGTTGTTATCAGAAATATAGTAAAGTTTATATTTTTCCTTCAAAGTCCAAAAGTCTTTCAGTGAAGTCCAAAATAAGGACACACCAAGAATGAAAGTGATATGGGTATAAAATAATTAATATGAATTCACAAGTAAGAGAGTCAAATGTCACCAGCTCAAACAGGGATGCTATAAGATTAGGCTGGTAATCTTTCTGGGGGATGTGTTAAGAACTTGAAGAAAGCAGGAGAGATGATACTGAATCAGGGGAAAACAAAACCTCAAAACCTGAGGGTCTATCTAGGTACATACCAGAAACAGCTGCAGATAACCGGAACATTAGCTACAGCTGGGAATTGAAGAATAAACCAACTTCAGATTGTCCGTGGAAGCTCCAGAAAGTAAATAATCTGAAGTTAGAGTCTCTGAGACCCAATGACCCAGGTGTCCTCCAGAGCAAAGGAAAACAAACAAGCCTGTTTTGGGACCTTGCTTAGGAAAGCTGCTTCAGGAGTTTTCTCCTTCCAAATAGTTTGAAAGCCTCCCACACAAGAGCACTAACAGCAGAAGCCAGGTCCCCCTGTGGTGACAGAGGAAGCCCCAGAAACTGTATCTCCTAGACTGCTTTTCTGAGCCAGACATAAGTTCTAAGGGAAAGTCACTTAAGGGTCTGGAAGGGGCAGCATTGAACTTCTCCTAATAAATAATTCATATATAAATAAATTGTCACCTTGCTCCAGATAAAATTGCAGTACTGAAACGCACTAAAAATACATGCATAATTAAGTTTAAAAATCACCCAGAGAAGGTCACTCTTGACTCCACCTATCACAAATGCCTGGTCTTTGCTAGTTATAAGTCCAAAAGGTTAAGAGCCTCACCAAGGGGTGGCGTAGTCTGCAACTTTCTCCAACTCCAGGATGAGCCACAGCATCCTGGTGTCAGACTTCTGGACACCAAAGTGACTTTTCTAGGGTGCAGCAAGATGAGCCACCTGATCCATACTATGCCCTCCTGCTGGCGTCCCACACCCGTCAGCCCCATTCTGGAAGGAGGGGCTGAAGGAGGGGCTGAAGGGACTACAGACAAGCAGAACAACTCCATAGCCAAACAATGCATTCAGTCCAAATTCAGGTGAAGGATTTGGGGAGGTGGACAGAAAGAACAATGGCATCGTACGTGACTGTTTTAATTAAAAATGAGTAAATAAAATGAGCCCCTTACCATCTCTCCTGAGGTTGGCATTGCGCAAAGCTTTGATGGATGCGCTTTGCGGAGTTGCATAAGTGTCCCGAAAGCTGCAGAAGTTTGCGCAGGCCAGGGTGTAGACGAAGATGAGCCGGTGCATTTGGGATTAGGGACTTCGGGACACCTTCGCTCCAAGACAAAAACCGGGTTCTGCTCGGGACGGACGCCGCGCCTCCCTGCGCTCTTGCCGCCTGCGCTCCCCAGCGCTGGCCCGGCCCGCTGAGCTAATCGCCGAGCTCTCCCTAAACTTCCTGCACGCTGAACTTTCTGAGCGCGTGTGGGTGCCGCACTTCCTTGTGGTGCTGAGAGTTGATAAAGGGTGACTGGACAAACAACAGGTTGACGTTTGTTCGCCCCCTCCTGTGGCCGGCAGCAGCAGCACAAGCTGCAGGGGGCAGGCGGCGCCGTGTCCGGCCCGGCCCGGGTGGCAGCGCCCCCTGAGCTGCGCGCACACAGCTCAAAGCAGCGGCGCGAGCACCCTGGTTCCCTGGGCCAAACCTGCACTGCCACTGAGCATGCCCAGTTTGACAGTGGAACGGGACTCTTTATACCATCCTGGGCTTTATGTTTGTCGGACCAAAAAGGGTGCAGGGAATAAGCTGGCCACAGTTCTAGCCCTGGTGATGGTGGGATTTGGGAAGAATGATTGGAGTTGGGAGTGGTTTGTTGTTGTTGTTGTTGTTGTTGTTTTGTTTTTTATTGTAACCAAAATCAGATTGTATTGAGTCAAGATTTTACTATATGCACAATGGAAAAGTGCAAGGCAAAATGAGCTGATTCTGAGCTTTATTTACTTTGGACCCCAGTTACTGTGACCTTAGTTGAATCAAGGGTAGTTTCTCAGGGGAATAAACAGCCTGCCCTTCTCATTTCACAGAGATGTAGTTGTGATAGACTCAGGTGGTAAAGTGTATGAGTGCAACAACCAGTTGCTAAGGGTGTTTTCCTGTCCCCTGCACAGTAGAAGGGCTTAGAGGATAGGGTGGATCAATGATAGACTGGGCAGAGTGAAGAAATTGCCTGAGAACATAAAGTTCCTTTGCCTTCATAGTCCCTTAGGAAGAGGCGGGGGTAGGGGCCATTCAGGCCTTGGGGAGCCTCCTTTTTTTGGGTGCCTGTAAACTCAGCACTGCAGAAGAGCTGCGTGTATTTCAAGGAACTTCTGCACTATGCATTCTGTGTCCCTAGGAAAAGCATTGTGTGTAGAAAATGAGTGAGTCAAGACTGTCTGTTTACTAGTTGTGTCATCTGAACAAATCACTTCACCTCTTGAGACTCAGTCATTTTACTTACAAAATAAGGACAGCAATCTTAGTTTGTATGATTGTGGGGAAAATTATATGACAGAATTTTAATGTATTGTTTTGTTTGCAGTTGAATCCAAATCTAAATTTACATAATTTCTCAACTTCTCACCAGTGACATCTAGAAGACAAAATTTCCAACCTCTTGTAGGCCTTCCAGCTCCCAAGAGTCTAGGGTATAGGAAATAAGTGATAACCATCTATAGGGAATTAGATGCTGCTGCGTAGGTTAAGAAGGTCAGCAAATTATAGACTTGACAAGTAATTAGCTATCCAAAACCATCTAGGATACATGTGTTCCTTCAAGGTACCCAAACATTAACATGATTCACCACTATTGGCATTATGACCTAAAACAGTGTTTTTGCAAAATGCAGGTTTGTGGGTCATGAAATAAATTTCAATACCTGCATTATTTTTAACTAAATAGGATGTATTCAAGAGCTTAGAAATATAAAGTCTGGGTTTTTTGAAGATCATAATATGGTTTCATGAATATTTTGTTGTATACTTGTGCAGGTGCACACACACACAGAGTAATATAGAAGATAATTCTATGGGGGGTATGATCAAAAAGTTTGAAATCCACTGTAAAGTAATCTGTTTCTAAATATAATCAACTCCTGGAAGAGGCAATGAGGAGAGAGACATAGAATCTGTGATTGGATTTAATCATTCATTCATTCAACAAGTATAAAATTATGCATTAACATTTTTCTTTTTCCTACTCTGTAAGCATCTTGAGGATGAAATAATGAACAAGAGAGACAAGGTTCCTAATCCCATGGAATTTAGAGTCTAATGAATCAGAGGAAACCATAGAAAGTAAAAGTAAATAGGATTTTTTAATAAAATTATTTGAGAGTGTGAAAGATCTGTTTCAAAGATAAGCAATACGATTGCTTCAATTTATTTTTCACATGTATGTCAAGCTAATTTACCAAACATTAAATTAACCACTACATTTTAAATGATTATAGGTGAAAAGAACATGAATCAATACAATGAAAATTGACTTATAAATATTTATTACTATTCCAATGGATGTAAATTAACTAGTGTATATGAAGCCATTGTTCAATGATATTCATGTAATAAAAAGTACATCTATTATTCAGAAAAATTTAAAAGAGTAACTTTTAATAGGTCCAGGTATAATGGCATTTGTCCCAAACAAATACTCTAGCAGTAAAGATTCAATAAAAGGGTAGGCCAGAATTTGACACTATTTTTATCATGTACTCTTTTCCTTAAATGAATTGAACCCACGAATGGTATTTTCCACTCCATTTTCAAATCTTCTTGGATTTTTCACTACTTACAAAACCCACAATAGAAAAGGAATGAAAGGTGGTGTGAACTTTTCAAAGTCTTTTCATCTCTGGAAGTGGTATTATCTCTGGACTGGTGTTATTCTTATATATTTTTTTTTAAATTAAACTTCTACCAGTCTTAACTAGCAACTCATACAGGATAGATCTCTTGACAATAGTTGTCATTTTTTTGAAGCCTATTTTTTTCAAAGCAGATATTCCTTTGTTGTTCATCCTTTTCTCTCTAGATCTCAGAAAACCAAAGTACTATAATGGGACATCCTAATTTCTGATCTGCCTCAAGGCTACCGAGCTTGTTCAATACCAAACTTTCATGGAACTTCAATACTTCCCTACAAAATGGGAATATTGCACTGGATTATTTTAAAGAACTATTGTAGAATTCTCAGTATTTTATTTTAAAAATTATACCTTCACTATGTGCTACATGTATAGCTTTACCATGTCCAAAGATACTTTAAACCATTTTTTTTATTTAAAATGGCTGAATATTTGATATATAGTTTATTAAAATTATGATGTAAATTTAGAAAAAAAGACAAAATTGGCTCCGATGCTTTAAGACAATTAATGAAATGATTTTGATCAATGATTTGGCTCAGGAGAACTGGATTAAATTTAGCTTATTTTTGAAATTAAAAATAAGATAATGTATGAATATTCTGGATGCCAAAGAATGAAATGAAATATTCATAAAATGACAGATTATGTTAAAATTTCAATAGTCTCAAATGACTTGAAATACCTAAAATATTGACATCATTGTGAAGTGTTTTATATTAAGTATCTGCAAAATACATTATTGTATTGTTTTATCAACAAATAGCTGTATTTATTATCACCCATTCCATGATTTTCTCTTTACAATTACACTTATCCTAAATTAAGTTCTTTTCTTAACTGACTCCTTTGTCACATTTACCATATTTATTCCCTTATTCCCATCATTATTAACAGTGAAATAGGTTACTAACTTTTATTAAAAGCATTAATTACATTTTTCTATGCATAAAAATGGAGAAATTTACTTCAAAATTAAGGCTTTAGGGGTGCTAAAATGTATTGATTTATGTAACTTTTCCCCAAGCAGCATTAATTTAAATATTCTTTAATCATTGACCAGGGAGCCCACACCTTGAGTACTGCTTTTCTTTAATAGGTCATGGAACTATTTTCTTCTTATTAGGTACGGGTGTTTAAAACCTTAATTTCAATGGCACATAATAATTCAAGGCAATTGGTAGGGATGTTTCCTTCTGCTTTACAGATTCAAATGCAGACCTAGTCCTATCTCTGGTCCTAATTTGAGGAAAACCATAGTTATGTCAACTAGTCATAAGGCTAGTTGATTTCCAATTCATCCCACATACTTATACTTTATCTATAGGCATTGTTGGTATACAGCCCCACATATTGTTTGGAATTCTACATAGTAATGTCAAATACAGTTCACCAAGCTATAGCACTGACACATGTTAAACAATATCTTCCAGATATAATCATTTGAAATTGGTTGTGGTCAAAACTATCAGCTTGACCATTGACAAGTAGTTGGTCCCATCAGTCAACCAGGTAGTCTGTTCCTTTACTGCATTGAACGAACTACTGACACAACTTAATCAAATGAGTCATTGAGTTATTTATCATGTAGAAGAACCCCTAAATCTATATTTTCTTCTTTACTTCCGTATATTTTTCATCTCCATTTACCCATTCTTGAGCTGCATTATCTAAATTTAAGGTTTCAAAGATGAATATGTTGCCTATTCTGCAGGATTTCTTCCTTAATTGATCTGGGATGTCTGCCAGTCTTCTTTAGAATTCTGCACTTTTATCTTTATAAGACTGGATGCTATCCAGTTGCTTTCACATTTCAAGTTCTTTCTTTGCCATTTTTTTAAGCAAGAAATTGATATGGAGATCTTTACATGTTTCTTTCCTTGAGTAAGAATTTTAATTCAATAAAGAAAAACTTTTCTTATATTTATGTCCCTTGGAATTTTACATTACACATTTATTCTCCTTTTCAGTTGAGCCCACACTGAATTTATTAGCAAGTCAATATTTAAAACTGAATTGGTAATATTTAATTACTGATTCTCTTTTCTCTAACTCTTCCAATATGAATTCACCACTCACATAATTACCCCTAAGAGTTTGAGTTATAAAATCTTGGTTATCTTTTCTAACTACCTTCTTTGCAATTATTCTTTAAAAGAAAACAAATTGCATTGTGGAGGAGAAAGAAGTATTAAAAGTGCTGTACAAAATCAATAGTATAGTGTGCCTTTAAAAACCTAGCTTGTGGTAGAAATAAATTACATCATTCAATATTTTTATTGGTTCTTCTTAGTTATACATCACAGTAGAATCCATTGTGATATAATAATAAAAGCATGGAGTAGGTCATGTTCTAGTTCAGACCCCAGTGCCTCTCCTTTTTACCTTCCCTCTCCCCACCCATTGTACATCATTAGATATTGGCCCTGATTCTTATCTTTGATTTTTTACTTTTGAAGGTTGCAACAATTTGTTTCCTAAGTAAAGACTGGAAGTGTCCCTCATTTGAAATTTTAAAACTTCCTTGAAAAGGGAAACTGCTTAGATTATGCTAGATAATATTGACTAGTCACATCAGGATAATCCTGTGAATATTTTTCAGTATCATATACTGATTAACTAAAAAATGTTTCAAGCAACTCTAAAGTGTAATTCAATTTCATATCTTTGAAAGGTCATAACACACATTTCATAGTT